CCCTATGCCTACCTATGATCCCACTCTTCCCTTCTCTATCTTTCTCTCTTTTCCTTCCTCCCTTCCTTCCTTCCTTCCTTCCTTCCTTCCTTCCTTCCTCCTTCTTCTCCTTCCTCTCTCCCTTTCTTCTTCCTTTCTATTTTATTTTTTCTTTAAGCAAAAACTGCCATTAAGTTCAGGATATTTATAAAGGAATACTTAATTCACAAATTATATATTCTACAAGGCTTTTTCATATATATATGTATATATATATTTATTATTGATCTTTTACAGAGAGAAAGGGAGAGGGATAGAGAGTTAGAAACATCGATGAGAGAGAAGCATGGATCAGCTGCCTGCACACCCCCATGGATCAGCTGCCTCCTGCACACCCCCTACTGGGGATGTGCCTGCAACCAAGGTACATACTCTTAACCAGAATCGAACCTGGGACCCTTCAGTCCCCAGGCCGACGCTCTTCTAGTGAAGCCAAACCAGCTAGGACATACAAGGCTTTTTCACTGGAAAAAAAAAATGAAGAAAAGAAAGCAAATCTGCTCACCTGAAAACACATTGAGTCTTGCAGCCCTGGCATCTCTGGAAACAATATAAAAATATCATTGCTTCAGTGTGAAAAAAATTATATATTCTACATAATATGCAAGCCTGAGGAATTGAATTAATGGGGTGCATATTTTAAATATATGATGAAGAACCAATTTGGCTAATGAAATAATTTCTGTAATTTCTAATAATTGTTTTAGACATTGACCATCCTAAATTTCAATAAACCATTTACTGTTTTACCCCCAGAAAAGCCTAGTAAAAATGCACAGAAAGAATAATAACTAGATTGAAATTAATTTATTGTAATTGTAAAATGATAATAGATTATAAATAGGAATGTATTCAGCCAGTGAGAAAAATCTGGTGAAGCAGGTTAGAGATGGATGCTAAGTGCCATTCCCTTCATATCCTTTTATAGATGAGCTGTGAGATACAGAAGAAATACAAAAAAGTACTCTAATTTTATCTTTCAATGATAGAGGACTAAGTATTGTCATAAAAGCTACACACATAAAGGAAAAATACAGAGAAATCTTAAAATGCACTGAATGATTTATCTTGGTGACTGGAGTTGCCTATGAAATTTTGTGCAGGTAGGGGGGTAAATGATTGAGCTAGGAACGGTACATGGCTACCTCTAAAACCAAAACATTTCCAAAGCCGCCTCATTTCTCATCATAGCCAATCCTCCACTACTCTTCAACATACACTCCACCAGAGTTTCTAGTGGAATCTGTTTCCGCTTCGTCCCTAAACTCCTCAGGCTCAACCTTGCCTCTAGGTGTTCAATCTAGTTGACTCCCCACACCCTATATACCTAAGCTATTTTCAAGGTGCTAAATACTATATTACTCAAAAGTGCTCCTATATAAACTCTCCCTTACCTGTCTTTACCTTCTTCTCTGCTTGATCCAGCAGCCTCAGAATTCAGTCCCCCTCATGTTCTCCCAATTCCTGCTGGCACATGTTGGCTAGAACCTGCAGTTCCTCATAGTATAGCCCTTTTCAAACTCTCATCAGTCCCAGCACTTTCAGAGCTGGGCTGAATGGTGACTTAGCCCTAGTTACTGACCTGGTGGCCAAGGAGGGAAGTGAGGGCAAAGCAGAGTGGAGAGAATAGAACTTTAACAGAGCAAATTGGACTACTTTTTCAGGTCCAGAGGGTTGAGCATCTAGGGATGCAAGATTTCTGAGAGTTATCAAACCAGATTTCCCCTTGCCATATCTCAGAGTCACACTTTTCCAAATATATCCCCGTCTTTAGCATAGGAAACTTGCCAAATTTGAGAACTTAGCCTCTTCTATAATTCTGCTAACTTTTCTAACTAAGTTCTGGGACCTGATCCTCGGCTTTTGGGGAGATGGGAGTCTCTTTATTTACTGCCAAGGAGAACCTCTGGCTTTCACACTCACTTTTTAATTGGTGATTAAAACATCCTGTTTTCACTATCTTCTTCAATATATTGTTTGCCTCCAGCTATAGTCATTCAATTCCATAGTCATTATAGTTACTATTTTTCCCTTTCTCTGGTTATCTATAACTGCATTAAAAAAAACACCCCCCCCCAAGTGCTGCTGTAAAACAATAAAAACTTTTGTATGTTTACAGATTTTGCTAGACAGAAATTTGGACATGGCAGAGTAGGGGGGGATTGCTTTTCTCATCTTCAAGATGTCTGGGACATAAGCTGGAAAGACTCCAATATCTTGGTGTTACTCAAAGGGCTGAGAGCTGAATGTAGCTGAATAAGTGGTTCCTAATGAAGGTTGGTGTTTGCCCCCAGGGAACACAGCAATGGGAGTGCTATTGGTATCTAGTAGGTTGAAGCCAGAGATACTGCTAAATGTCCTGCAATGTTCTAAAGACACCATGCTCCAAATCTCTTATACACATAAGATATTACACCTCTCAGTACATTTTCTTCTACCAGTCTCACCTTCCAGTTCCCCACCAATGAGATGTTAACAGTTGCATTCCTATAGTGTGTCAGGAATTAGTCATCCTCCATCCACTACCAGTCTTGGAATTTTCATTGGTATTCAACTGGGTGGGTGGCTAGAGGGGGAGGAGAGTTATTCAACTCCAACATTTCATTTCAGAGTCTACTTCTCATGATCACTTCTGGTCCCAACTTTCACAGATCAGGGTTCCCAGGAAACAGACACTGAAATTCAGAGATTTGCATGTGAGAGATATTTTTGAGGAATACATTCAGGAACAATAACTCTGAGGGCATAAGGTCAGAAGGTCTGGACAGAGAAGTAAGTTGAACTGTGATGCAATTGCAACACCCCCAGTGGATCCTATTGAGCAGTGGTTCTCAACCTTCCTAATGCTGCAACCCTTTAATACAGTTCCTCATGTTGTGGTGACCCCCCAACCATAAAATTATTTTCGTTTCTACTTCATAACTGTAATTCTGCTACTGTTATGAATCATAATGTAGATATCTGATATACAGGATGTATTTTCATTGTTACAAATTGAACATAACTAAAGCATAGTGATTAATCACAAAAACAATATGTAATTATATATGTTTTTTCCGATGGTCTTAGGGGACCCCTGTGAAAGGGTCGTTCGACCCCCAAAGGGGTCGCGACCCACAGGTTGGTGACCCACAGGTTGAGAACCGCTGCTATTGAGAGTCCAAAAGATAGGATGACCCTTTAGAGGTGCCCGTAGTAGAAGCAAGAGTTTCAGGCTTTTGTATCCCTGCATGGGCCAGCTATTGAATGCAGGCTGCTCCCTTGGAGGGGGCATAAACGTGGGCAACACAGTTTCAGTTGGCTGCAATTCCCAAAATAGGGACATAGTCATGAGCCTTCAGTAGCTAACACTCCTGCCTGCTAGAGGAACGAAAACCTAAAGAGGGATCTGGATCTGGTCAGTGTATTCATTATAGGTCTTATTTGGCCAAAGAAAGCTTTTAGAAACCACATTTAATTTACTGGGGAAGAAAATTGTCATTTGTGTGTAGTGCTTGCCCTATAACTGCCATTTGGTTTACTTTCAAGTCCAATATGTTTGAGATGTGGCCCTGAAGCTGTCATATAATGGCTCATCGTTGGAGGAACTCAACAGTTATAGCCAAAAGCTTATGGCCTAGATGCAAATAATTCTAGTTGCAGACCACATGATTCAAATATTTTCTTTCTTTATGTTTCCATTGATTTTTAGATAGAGAGGAAGGGAGAGGATAGAGAGATAGAAGTATCAATGAGAGAGAAACATCATCTATCGGCTGATTCTCACACGCCCCCTACTGGGGATCGAGCCCATAACCCAGGCATGTGCCCTGACCAGGAATCGAACTGTGACCTCTTGGTTCCTGGGTCGATGTTCAACTACTGAGCCACACTGGCTGGGCATGATTCACATATTTTAAGCAATCCATTGGGAAGAAATTATCGTTGTTTTTCTGTTCTGTGAAGAATATTTGACCCTTCACCCACATGATATTTCATTCTTCACCTCTGCAAGAGAGTTCAAGTCTGTGCAGTTCACTGGAGCTCAGCTCAGAAAATAACTAGATGGGCTATTTGCCATATTCCTTTCAATACAGGAGGAAACAGCATTGATGGAAAAATTCCCAAACTGTCTTTTATTGTTACTTTATTTCACTTTTCAAGGTGAACTAAAACCTGTGTTTGGTCATCTTTTTTTTTTTTCTTTTTTTCTTTTAGGAAGACTTACTAAATGCTACCTCTCCATATAAAATGCAACCCTATGGACAGGTTTGTTGTTGTTTTTTAACAACTTTTGGATTTTTATATTAAAAATAGCAGTGTTAGTGGTAGACACATCTCTAAAATTCAAGTAATAGAAGGTAAAAAGGAAATCAAAACAAAGGGATCTGCCTCTCAGTACTAGGGCCACAAGTAGGGTGAGGCAAATGAAGTGTCTAAAGTACAAAATTTAAGGAGGCATTCACTCGTAGGTGCCAATTCTACCCTTGTATGACCCTGAGGATGAGTGCCTCCTAAAATTCTGCACCCATGCCTCTCTGGACTCACCCTCATCCCATTTCTGCTCAGTAGGACAGCTGAAGAGCAATCAAATATGAAGAAGGTGGAATGGGCTGTGTCTACATGGAGTATGTATTTAATAGTTCATACTAAGTGCCTGTCATTCTTAATAAGTCCTTTTTTAGTGATTCTTTACCCAAAAGTCACCCACTTGGTATCATGGGTTCTAGCTAGTCTGGTCATATCCAATTTGACCAGCAGTTGACATCTGAGTAGAGACAGTTATCTATGACCTGTGCCTTTGACATGGTCTACCTTGAGACCTCTTCCCAGCAGGGGCATTTCATATCAGATGGTAATCATCTTTTGGAGAATTCAATGGGATTTTAAGCAGAGAGCAAAGTAGTATCAAGTAGGAAATCCCAGAGAGAAAAGGTGTAAGGAGAGACAAGTATCGAGAAAGAGGGTCAAGAGAGAATTCATTGGTAGCAGCCCATGGAGAGTGGCAAAGATTAAAGAGTTCACTAATGTTGTGGCCTCACCCCATAACAAAGAAACAGAATTTCCGGAGGATGAGGCCCAGAAATCAGGATTTTAAAAAGATTCCCAGGTGATGTGCAGCCAAGGTTGAGAACCACTGCTCTACAGTGTTGAACACTATTTGAGTCATAATTAGTACTTTATTTTAGAAATCATAGACATGTTTAGATCATGGCACTGGCATCAGATTCCTGTGGCACACATGTATGTTTAATTTTGAGGTTGACATCTTTACTTTGGTTGAAGCCTAACTATTTAATCCTGAGATGTTTCTCATGTCTCCTTGTCCTTTTAACAAACCACTATTAATAGAAATAAACTATACATTTTCCTATATATGTCAGCAGTATGATTCAAGAGGCTCTCAATAAAAATATTTTCTCCTAAAATATTTTCCCCAGCTGCTGATCATAGTTTCTTGAATTTTTTGACAGGTGATTCATCTGTTTGTGTCCTGAAGGTATTTCAAGCTTGATGAATGCCTGTTAAAATGTAAGTACATCTGGAAGGGGGAAATTTTGAGTTCCTGCCAAGCAATCTCTTATTTTGTTTAGTTGCAGGTTAAACACTTGAGATTGAGATAGAGAAAACCCTTTAGATCAGCTCCATCCTATAAACTTTGGCCACACCAAACACAGGGCTCTGCCCACCTGCAGGTCATATTTTCACCTAGTTTGCATTATCTGTCTTAATATACATCACCCTCTTCTAAGAGTTAACATCTTAGCTTTCAAAATAAGGTGTTAAAGTAACTGCTAACCAAACCAGAGCTGAGTTGCCACTCTGTGTCCTGACAAACACAAAGAGCACAGGATCAGAGCAAGACAGACCTGAGTTCAAATTCTGATTCAGTTCTGTATGTGCTGGGTAACCTTTTGATGATTTTTTTTTTTTACCTGAGGTGTTTCCTCATTTGTAAAATGATGATAATAGGATCTTTTTGGTAGGGCTATTTTTCGGATTATGAATAACACTAGTGCCCCAGTGCATGGATTCATGCATGTTAAAAGGAAATTAATTAGAAGGTGGATGGTGGGATGCGACTGGGCAAGAGGGGCTGGATCCAACCCTGGATCCAACCTCCCACCAGTCCCTCCCCAGCTGGCCACCCTGGGGCAGAGCCGTGGCTTGAAGGGCATCTGCGGAGTAAGTAGGATCCCTCTGGCAGCTGGGGTCCCTTGGCCTGGCCTCCAACAAAACCAGCCCTCCGACATCCCCCAAGGGGTCTTGGATTGCTAGAGGGTGGTTCTCAGGTGATGCACCCCAGAATAGGGCTCCCTCCTCTCTGGTTCTGGAGTGCGTCACCCAGACAACCGCTGCTGCCAAGTCACCGCAGCTCAGCAGCTCCTGCATTGAGCGTCTGCCCCCTGGTGGTCAGTGTGCATCATAGCGACCAGTTGTTCTGCTGTTCAGTTGATTTGCATATTAGCCTTTTATTATATAGGATTCCTTTAAACAGAGCATCCCTAATGTACTGTGGTAATTATCTACCTGTGGGCTTTATTTAGCTATGAGGAACTTCTTCCTATGAGCACAAACATTAACAGAAAAAACTGATGTTTGGGCAAGTACCTGAAGATGAATAATTTTAAAGTTTTTAAGTGTGATTATTCTTTTGGCAGGAATAAAGATTAAAATGCCATCTGCTTGTGCTAATAACTGAACTTCTGCCCTTGCTGTAGTGCAGGACCAATATGGTCACCACTTGTGAGTGCCTGTTTCAGACCTGGCATTCCCTCCTGGTGCTCCTTAACTAGCTCATCTTCTTCCTCCCCTGATGAAACCACATGGAACAAAATAATCGACTTTCCCATTTTGCTGGCCCAAATCTACACTGTGCATCATTTCCCTCTCACAGATGCTCTATCCAGGTGGCAGAAGATCAGCTTTAGAAGCAGAAATACGGTTTCTTGTTTCCTTTATTTCCTCAATCCAACCCACAAAGCATTTTAAGATTCCTGTAAATCCGATATTGGAATGTCCAAATTATAGCTTCCAAAGTATCTTTGTGCCAGGAAGAAGAATAAAAATCAAATTGGCTCTGAATGTTTTCAGGAGGAGCCGCAGCTGTTATACTGTTACTCTTCGTGGCTTTTGATAGCTCCAAATTTGGGGAAGCTGTGCCGTGACCATCACAGTAAGTGTGCAGGCTTCTTCCTGGGGTTTCACTAACCCAGGGAAGCCCTCCAGACAAGGAAAAGGAAGTTAATTTCATGGCCAGACTTCCAAAGAAGTTCTGAGTTGTTTCAGATCAACCCACCAAATCTTTATAATGAGAGTATTTATTATTCTCAGTCCTTAAAATTTACCTATATTACTTGTGAGATATGAATTTATTATGAAGGTTTATACAGTCAGAACCATGAGCATAAATTCTATTAAATGATTTATTTTCCATTTAATTTTTTTATTGAAATAATGCTTAGCTTATGTCTGGGAATATGTACCCACAGAGATTTACAAGGAAATTAATGCTAAAATGCTTGTGTGCATATCAGAATGTTCTCTTTCATTTTCTAAGAAAGAAGATTTGTAAAGACGATTTGTTTACCCACACATCTTGTTCTCCCTAGAGTGCCTTTCTGTTCAGCATCAGACAGGACCCAGGTGGTAAGGTGGCAGGTTTTCTACACTGAGGCTGAATAAGGTTCATGGGAGATATGAAAAGTCTTGTCACACTGAGAGATTCTTGGACAGGCAGCCTCAACATTGCGCTTGTTATTTACAGTGAATTCTTTGTCCCCTGTCCTCCTTTATTTCCTGCCACAGCACCTTCCTCCAAGGTAATGCTACCTAAGTCACCTGTTGCTCCACTGCTAATTACCATTCCCTTCATTTAGATGATTTGCTCGTAACCAAGACAACCAGGAGTGGCACTTGCGCAGTCAGCCAACCGTTTCCTCCATCTGGTCAGGCTGCAAGAGTGGTCTAGTTCATGTCACTCTTGTGGTGGCAAGAAGTAAACATTCAGCAGAATCCCTCTCCCCGTATTATCAGTTTCTCCCCAAGGATTCAGGGACTGTACACTTTTCTCCAGATTTACTAATTAACTTATTTTATTCCTTCTAACAAATCTCAATATATTTTGCTCCTTCAAAACATTATTACCCTTCCAGTCAGTCTGGTGCACTCAACATCTTAAAATTAAATGTACTGACACACAGGCAAACACATTCCTTTGCTGGGATCACTTCCAATGAAGGTGTGGTTCCCACTCTTGTACCTTTCCATCTTTGTTGCTCAGGCATGGCTAACTGTGCGGGCCTCTTAAAATTGAATGTTAAACCTGATCAGCATCCTCCAATGGCTTTACATCTCACTCAGAGTGAAAGCCAAAGCCCTTACATGCTTCCAAGGTCTCCGACTTCATCTTTTCCGCCCTTTTGTCCTTGCTCAATTCCTGCCAGTCATGCCTTGCTTCTCTTCAAGGATGTGAACTTGCTGATTCCTCTTCTGGAAAGTTTTCTCACCAGATACACATTCATATGGCTGCTCTTTTGTCTCTTTCAGGTCTTTACCAGTTAAAGGAGAAAGAAGGAAAAACTAAACTAATGTAATTTCTTAGGGAAGGGGGAAATGAGCAAAATTATACATATATATGTTTAATTTAGTAAAATTGGGCAGGTATATAACTATCTGGGAGATAATGTCTAGGATATATATAATTGTCTAGGGCGGTGGTCGGCAAACCGCAGCTCGAGAGCCACATGCGGCTCTTTGACCCCTTGAGTGTGGCTCTTCCACAAAATACCACATACGGGTGCGCATGTACAGTGTGATTGAAACTTCGTGGCCCGTGCACAGAAGTCGGTTTTCGGCCTGGGCGAGTCTATTTTGAAGAAGTGGCGTTAGAAGAAGTGGGGGTACGTTCACTGAGGTCAACCCCTCAGATTGAGAACATTTTTAGCCAAGGCCAGCTTAGGAGTACCCTAATTAAGTTAATAACAATGTACCTACCTATATAGTTTAAGTTTAAAAAATTTGGCTCTCAAAAGAAATTTCAATCGTTGTACTGTTGATATTTGGCTCTGTTGACTAATGAGTTTGCCGACCACTGGTCTAGGGTATATACCATTGTGTAAGTGGTAGGCAAAACCCCGAGAAATGAGAGAACTGGGAGAACAAAAATGGAAACAGAGTAAAATTTAGGAGTGTGAATAAAAATAAGATGCAGAGACTTTATCTCCAAGGCCATGAGGGTTCTGGGTAGCATAACATCGGAAGTTCCCTTCATGTCCTGACGAGTGTTAAATGAGAAAACTGCACTTACATAGCCATTTCCATAGTTTTGACTAGTTCTGTCTGGATAAACTTTTTACTGGATTGGAACTGTGGATAATCAAACAGAAAAATATGATCCCAAAGATAAGCCCCAAAGTAGAGATTTCAAAAGGTTAGGCGACGAATGGAAATATTGAAACGATTCAGGGGGATTTAAAATATTTTTCCCCAAAGAAACATTTCAAAGACAAGAAGGAAGCTCATTGTAAATGTAAAAGTAGTGGCTATAGGAGTATTTGTTAGTTCACAGCGTTCTGCTGCCTTCTGAGAAAATTATTCCAGAATGAAATCATGTGCTTATTCCTTTCCTCCTCCTGGATCCTAACTCAGAATGTTATGGAGACAAAGTAGGCCAGAAAAGCACCCCTTTTATCCAAACATTCATCTTAGTGGAGGATCCTTAGCCGGAACCATTCAAATATGCCTTCGAGTTGTTTGAAACTGAACAGCCTCTTTAGGTCTTATCTGATTTATTTATTAATTTATATATTTCTAAAGAAGGTGTCAGTGGAGGATAAAAATTTAAATGATCAAAGCTAGAGACTGCTATTTTGAGTGCATTTTTTAAAATTCTGTAGTGAAAAACAGAATTTGTCACTGGGAAAGAGCATTGGGCAGGTGCTTGTCATTATGCAGATATAACACAAGTACCCACCCACTTCTGACTAGCAATTCATAATATAAATTATAATTGTACTTCTACAGATTAAGGCTTTTTTTGTTTTTATCTAGATATCCCTATCTATAAAAAAATGTATTAGGTTGTCTTTGTGGTGTGTGTGTGTGTGTGTGTGTGTGTGTGTGTGTGTGTGTGTGTATGTGTAGGACAACCTACAAGAATTGGAAGCTCAGACCAGTTGATGCCAGGAAAGATGAGGCACCAGATCTGGCGTGTCCTCACTTCATGCTGGTGGCTGGATCATAGGACAGCCTGAGTGGGATTTGCCAGCTCCCACCCTCTGTTAGTCTAAAACCTTTCAAGAGTGGCATACTTCTCACTATAGCTCTTATCCAGTATTTTGCTTGCCTTATCCCATGGCTTGGGGACCAGACCACATCCTACAAATAAGTGGGACATTCCCCTAAAGAATATCTGTGTCTTCCCTGTCAGGCATCTGAAGAGAGAAAATGGCCCGGGCCTTAGCCCTGAGGAGGGAATGACATTCTCCTCCCTGGCACTCCTCCCTGGCGCTCTGAGCTATTGAGCCTGA